CCGGATTCATGCCTTCGAGGAAGGTCCCGTTTGAACGCTCACATCGTTTTTTTTTTCGTTTGTGGGAAAACTAAAACTGGTCGCAATTTTCGAATAAGAATGAGTCGGCAATTTTTAGTGGAATCGAAAATTTGGAGGTAAATAAAACACCGAAACCCGGCAAATAAATAGGCGGTCGAATTTTTAGAGGGGTCGAAATTTTGGAGTTTTCACGGTACTAATTATTCCATTTCAATGAAACTTAGTATAAAGATGCTCTAGGACAATGTACAAACCTAATTAGTTTGGGGTAAAAATCTGTTCATATTAATTCCCTAATAAGCATAATAATTCATAATTTTTTGGTTCTAATCACATTTCATTTAAACTTGGAGACATAGATTTTCTGTTACATTGCGCAGACCTCATTAGTTTTACACTCAAATCTGGTCATATTAATTTTCTGATTTGCATAATTAGTTTTCAGCTAAGTAATTTCGAATTATATTTAATGTGTCTCCAATACTCTCAGCACATGGGAGTTCTTTCTAAGCTTTCTTTGATTCCTCTTGTTAGGGCTTGCAACATATTACTACATAAACAGCTGGCAATGTGTTCACAAGAAGCACATCTAAGTTATGGATTTCTGCAATTATGTGTCTTCTGAGCAAAACTAACCAGTGATGTGTTCAAGGTTTGAATGGGAATAAGATGCTCAAATTATTAGAGATTTCCAGAATGGCCAAAATAAATATGATACCAAATTGGAAAATTGAATTTAGCATGTAAAATAAACAAAATCTGATAGAGTTGCACTTGAAGTTTGTACATCATGAGGTTAAGTACCAAAGCCATATGGCTGGAATTTTTAAAATATGGTGAAAATAACCTTTTTTTACTTCAAGTGACGAAAATAGTAATAGCTGGTACAGGTTAAAACTAGTATCTTTAAACAAGTTATGTACATTTTACACCTTGCCCATGTCGATGAATTTATGTTTTTTATTTATTTAAATTACATGTACATTATTAAGAGAATGAAAACAATTGATTACAGCTTACGAAAATACCCCTTGCCGACGCTACCTAACTCTCATGTGATTAAATCTCAACACTCGTGACTTACTAAATCTATAAATTACATGTTCCATATTACATTTGTATCAATACCTGCTTGATATTCTTCGACAAGTGGAAAATTTTAGTTATTTGTCATTTGATAAATTTAATTATCATGTCAAGTTTGATAATTTAATGTGCAATAAAGGGGGGTAGCCCTGATTGCAGTCCTGTAGGTTGGCCTCCTTCCGCTGATCATTCAGCCCCACAGTCCTGAGAAGTCGCATAGACCAAGGATTCGACACCCACCTACAAATTGATGGTGGAGAACAGTTCTGCAGTTTTCATGATTGTAACCAAAACATCTATCGACCAATTTTTTTGTGGCAGAAAAATGAACCTACAGTACTGGAATGTTGGCGAAAGCTAGTTTTACGCAACGAAACAACGTTTTGTTAATAAATACATCAAGAAAAATATGGCGGCATATATTTTCGGTTGACATTGGAAAATGACGATTTGATCAACCCTAGTGGGAGATCTTATGTAATTTTGCTTCCAGTGAAGGTATTTAGAATAGTTAGACGTATCGACCTGCTTATTTTTTAACTGCAAAGCTGAATGCCTCTTAAATCGCCCGATACATTCCTTCACAATAGTGTCGAATTCCCGGTCTATGTGACTTCTCAAGACTTTGGTAGCAGCCGAATGATCAGCGGAAGAAGGCCAAACTTCAGGACTGTACTCAGGGCTATAAAGGGGGGGGGGGGTGACGAGTTGACGTGATTTTTATTTTCATACTCTTTTCAAATTAAAAACGTTGCCAAAGAGGGCGTTATTCTCACTGAACTTCGGCATGAGTATTCAAACTATCGTCAAGACATACAAATATAGGTACAGCGAATCGCTGAACAATCGATGAATTTAGCATCGTTCACCAATCAAGTTCCACTAAATAAAAACTGGTGGTAAGTATTTAAAAGCAAAACCTCGTTCTCACTCGATCCACGACCGGTGGTACTTGGTGAACGAAACAATTAAATCTAAAACGGATATACAATGTGGATAAGTATATGTGATCTTGGCACATAATTACTTACCTACTGGTGGGGGGAAATTGAAAATTTCCTGTATTCTCGCCTCGATATTCTGGACTGCCAATCTAAGGCGCATTGCTAACATGCGCGCCGCCATCTTGAATGTAGGCGATTCCATTGTAAATTCGACATTTGATGGACAATGTTAAATTTAAATCATACTGTCATGCATACTGTTATTTTTGCGTATATGCAAATTTTAAAATAAATTACAACTTCGAAATTGAATCCAAAGACTACATTTAGAAACTTTCTGTACTCGAGACTGTTGAAATTTAACCTACCTATTCTATTTGGTTTGTACCATTACTTTCCCAGCATGCTCTTTTCAAGATGTCGGAACGGTACAGTTTCTCGCTGACAACTTTCAGGTGAAATATCAGTATATCTTAATTTTCACAGATTGTTTATATTGTTACATATCGGAAGCATGTCGCTATTTAAGGCAGTGTACGCGAGAGTGGTTTACCGATGATTCTACTTTGCTATCTTGCTAGAAACCGCTTGGTGAGGAAGCCCACGAGTGTTTTGCAAACTCATTGACAGAGCCACCAATGCATTTTTATTATTGATCAGAAATATAGTACATGTACATGTAATAGCATATACATGAAAAAGGACTGATTTCAACATATTTCAATCTTCATGTCAACGTTTGTTTGGTGGGATTATCATTTTTGTGCTTGCTCTAACATATATATCAATAATAATATCAATGTTGTTGAAGTTGTTCTAATAACCTGTCCGAATAAAATGAATACTCTCAGGGCAACAAAGGCATTACCTCTATATTTATGAGTTTTGCAATTAAAATTGAAACGAGAGGCTTCTATTGGCTGATTGAACCATATTGGAATTTTTTCAAATGACGCTGCTCACTGTGCTTTGTTGGTAGACTGGTTGGATTCAACTGCTATTGAAATGTATAGATATTTATAAGAATGAGTTGAATGCTGAGTGTTCAACTTATATTTATTACAAATCAGTCTTTCTTGGCCTGTGGTATTACAATTATTGATTATTGATGTGTTAGAGAAGAGGTGAATGACACTTGAAAATGAGCTTTTGAATTAACCACTACAAGCCTAGTGAGAAGGAAATGTATGCGGATTATATATTACCAAGGAATTATAAGAATTGTCACCTAATCACAAGTGGAACCTACATTTCTGTTTTGTGTTTTTAATACAGTGATAATCTTGCTTGTTTTTGTTTATGTAATTGAAAATTTCAACTCAAGCACTGCTTTCTGTGACAGTCAGAACTACATTTGATTGATGTGTAAGGAATAGTACTATCACTTTAAAATGTTCACAAATCGTACGAGTTAACTTCACTTGAGATCTTCATATCATATCACTGTATAATGGTCGTGTAAATTGCATGTCCTAATCTTACAAATCCTTGATTTCTTGGAGAATGTTTTTGAAGATGTTCTATCATGAACCATACATCTAAGTTGTGAAACAAACAAAAGGGTGACACCTACTGACTGGAAGTGCACCATTTTCATTGAATGCACCTCACACTGAATATTATTTTCACCTTTCAGTCCATCTGGAAAACTAGTGCAAATTGAATATGCCCTGAATGCTGTTGCTGCTGGTGCTCCCAGTGTTGGAATCAAGGCATCAAATGGTGTGGTGGTAGCAACTGAGAAGAAACAAAAATCTGTTTTGTATGATGAACAGAGTGTACATAAAGTGGAAAGTATGACAAAGAATATTGGTATGATATATAGTGGTATGGGACCTGACTATAGGTGAGTAGTCATGCAGTCAAGGATTTGTTCATTTGGCAATTATCAAACGTGTATTTAAAGGCACCCTCTCTGGCAATACAATATAAATTATCAAAATTAGCTAACTTAGCTAAAACAACATGGTAGTTAAAAAGACATGTTTTACAGTTATTAGTCCACATGAGAAATATAATTTATTCCTGAGGAAGTCAAGGACTTCTATAGATTCATATGACCCCTCCCCTGTCTTACAGTTTGTACCTCAATGCATGAATTAACAGAATCCTAATTGAGTGCCAACAATCTCATTTCAACAATATACTTTATTTTAAATTAGTAACATCTTGAATTAAAGAAATTACAGATTAGCTAAAATATACAGGCATTGTGATTCTCTTTTCCTGGTGAAGTAATAAATTTTCATGTTTGTTTAGTTTAGTTTTTAGCTGTCAAATATACATTTGATTGACTGTATATGTTTCTTGTTCTCAGGGTTCTAGTACGGAAAGCAAGAAAGATAGCACAGCAATATTATCTAATATATCAAGAACAAATTCCAACATCACAGCTAGTACAACGAGTAGCAACAGTTATGCAAGAATACACACAGTCTGGGTAAGTAGATGTATACAGTATATGAATCACATCAAGCACTTGCATATTCAAGGAGGAATTAATATATTGGTCAGCAATATATTAGTATAGACTATAGGATTTATGGATTTGTAAAAAAATATACGTAAATGTGTTTGAGTCACCTTTTATATTTGTAAAATTTGTGTTGCTTTTATTTTTGGTTTACATTGAATGCAGAAACAATTTAGCATGCATCAGAAGTAGAATCTTGTAACTAAATGGAAATCAATCAATCATGCAGGCAATCAATCTTGCACATTATTTACTAATGTTTGTTTATGTTAGTAATTTATGACTGCACTTGTGCAGTAGACGTTGATCTATATAATCACAATACTGCCTTCATTCATACTTTCAAGTCTTAAACTTTAGATTTGGGAGGGCATAAAGTTTCATGACGATGATAAATAGAGTTAGCATATTGGGATTCTATCTGTGTTTCTGAAGTGCACTTAATGCAAAGTTGGGCATCAAGGCAATTTCCATCAATCCCCCCCCCCCTCCCAATAAATTTGTTTGCAGTATTACAATTTATTATATTATGCAGATTCTAATTTGATGCACGATTTTTTTTTTTCAGAGGTGTCAGACCATTTGGGGTATCATTGCTAGTAGCAGGATGGGATGAAGATGAGAAAAAACCATATTTATTCCAGTGCGATCCATCCGGAGCATACTTTGCTTGGAAAGCCACCGCCATGGGAAAGAATTTTGTGAATGGCAAAACCTTCTTGGAGAAACGATATAATGAAGATTTAGAGTTGGAAGACGCTGTACATACAGCTATACTCACATTGAAGGTAATAACAACATAGCATGTGCAATGTCATTCTCCCTTTTAGTTGATGATGAACTTTGAACTCATTGCTTGCTGAAAACCCCTCCACAAAGGAATGGGGGAAAATATGACATGATTGAGATTAGTATATCATGTCACTGAGCACAGAACCTAATGCATATACTTACAAAATCAGATTTACTCGTGTGAACAGAGATCGAGCAAAGTATGTTGATATATATTCTCTTCTTGATACTTGATTTTCAATTTAATTTTATTTTATACTCTCAACTTGTGTTTATTTACAGGAAAGTTTTGAAGGCCAAATGACAGAAGACAATATAGAAATAGGAATTTGTAACGAAAATGGTTTTCGACGACTTACACCAGCAGAAGTAAAAGATTATCTAGCATCAATAGCATAACTTTGAAAAATCTATTCATTATGATGACAGGGAACTGGGCAGCTTTGAGGTTTCAAAATAAGCTGATATCTAGACTGTGCTTTGCTTCAAATTTTACTAGATTCAGGATTGTAAATTGAGAATTATACATTGTATTTTGTTGTCTCATATTATTCATCAAATTCAAAATTTTGAGTTAATATTTCACTCAAGACACAATTCAAATCACAATAAACCATATCATGTCTGATGGTTATTGATGATGTACAACACCTGAATTGGTTAAGTGGTTTATTTTTTTTTCTTGTTCAGCTTATCAAAGTAAAACCCTTGCTATATTGTGTACAGTTTAAACCATATGTGACGTTTATTTATACATTAAATCATCAAGTTTTCTTGTGTACTCTCTGCTTGGGATCTTAGGGACTTGAAACCTCAAAGCTTTCAATTCCACAGGAACTGAAATTATGAAAGTATTGCTGTATCAATACTTACTTGAATTGGCTTCTGTCAAGATGGTTTTAGGAAACTGTGTAATCATTTTCATTATATTGTCCTATTTTGTGAATTCACAGTAAAAGTTTTGTCTTATACAACTACTAGTAGTGACTCGTGTATTGATCAGTGATTAGTGTATTTCATAATGTAATCACCCCATTCAGTTAAAATGAGTTATATTTGAAGCTGAAGTATGCATTCAACAAGTATTCTACTTTACAGTGTAGTTTACCTTATGAGCATCTTTTTGACTCCTGTGTGCGAAGCACAAAAAGGGAGTCTTTGCAGTCAGTGTGTCTTGTGTGTGTGTCTGTTCCACTGCTATCTCAAGAACCATACATCGTTTTTTGATGAAACTTGATGCATAGATGCTCTGGGCCAATGCGCAGATTTGATTAGGTTTTGGTAAAAATATATGCATATTAATTACCTAATTTGCATGATAATTAGCTGATTTTTAGCTGTTCCATTACTATCTAAAGAAATACTCATTGGATTTTGATGAAACTTGGCACATAGATGCTTTGAACTAATGTGCAGATTTGATTAGTTTTGGGTGAAAATCTGCAATATTAATTACCTAATTTGCATCTCATTTGAATAAAAATTTAGTACATAAATGCTTTAGGACAATAGACAGGCCTGATTAATTTTGGGTTGAAATTTGTTTATATTAATTCTCTAATTAGCATAATTCATATTTTTTTTGTTCTAATCACATTTCAATGAAACTTGGTACATAGATATTACATTACGCAGGCCTTATTAGTTTTACACTAAAATCTGTTCATATCAGTTACCTGATTTACATAATTAGTTTTCAGCTATTCCATCAATATCTCAAGTACAAGTAATTTTGAATTAATTTTTAATGTGTCTTCAATACTCTCAGCACACAGGAGTTCTTTCTAAGCTTTCTTTGATTCTTGGATGTCGTCCTATGTGTGTGTGTGTGTGTGCTTGCAAACCCGCAAGGGAGGTTATGAGTTTGGTGTACCTAAGCAAAATCTCAAATACTTGCCTTTCATTTCCTACCTTAGGGTAATGTGCAGACATGATTAATTTTAGGGTCATGTTCATGCATATTAAGTAGCTAATTTGCATATTAATGGCATACTGTCATGAACGCAATTGTGTGATATGGGCTATCATTAAGATTTTTTAAAACACATTAGTCTTTTATGTTGCCGCATGTCAGTCGGCCTTGTTTCTACTGTTGGTTAGTAATTTTCTGTTAAATTTATCATGCTAATTTGTATGTATTTAGGCTGTTATACATTTGACTACTATGTAGCACAATTTTATTTATATCACTCCTGGTCATGTGCCTTCATCTTGAATTTTCAAGGTGAATGTTCCGGCGAAGCACTCCACTAGAGGGAGGAATGTCCGAACGGAGCAACACCGTGCAGGCGGACGATGTGTGCCTTGGCTAGGCTATACTTTTATTCAGGTGACGAATTCAAATAATTTAGCTGTGATAATAATGCAATGATCATTATGCTAATTATTCCAAAGTTTGAAAATGAAATAATTATTATGCATTTCCATATATGTACTTGTACATATTAAAAGTACCAGAAACTATTCGTGCAGAAATGCTGCATTAAAAATATTACCAAGTAACAGAAAGTTATAAATTTGGTCGTTCATGATTACCTAAAAGTTTAGTTTATGCTGTTATTACCAAACGCTTCAGCGTGGTATTAAGAGTTTGTTTTCAGGGGTGGGTGATACCAAGGTGGGAAATGGATGCACATATGGGGTTAATTCCTTGAATTGCAATATAGAGGGTTCAAGCTGAAATACAATATATAGTGTTTTCATGTTTCGTCTGATATTTCTGTGGTATTCTGCTGCTGTAAGTAATGCACGATTTGTTCCGAAATCCAGTATATTGTGTGTATTCCAGGGTTATTCGTTTTTTGCTAAAAACACCCCTATTTTTTTAGTGGCAGAGTCGAATAGTCTCACTCCCACTGGGAAATCTGCATTGTTGCTTGAATGTGAGTTAATTAAACACCTTTTCCAGACCGGCGAAAGAGTATACAACAGCCAATTTTAACAGCCTGTCACGTGATTTTAGTCTGAATGTCAACATGAAGAGGCTAGTCCATTTTACGCAGGAGTAATTGGGAGTAGAAAATGTGAGGGATAGTATCAACA